ATTATATCTTCTACATAAATATACAGGTGTTTATATCTTCTACATAAATATACAGGTGATTATATCTTCTACATAAATATACAGGTGTTTATATCTTCTACATAAATATACAGGTGATTATATCTTCTACATAAATATACAGGTGTTTATATCTTCTACATAAATATACAGGTGATTATATCTTCTACATGAATATACAGGCGTTTACGTCTTCTACATAAATACCGACGTATTATACTATAATATGTACATATTCATGAATCTACAGGTTATACTCTGATAGGTATAGATCCCTGAAATTACAGTTTATTTATACTGATGAATTTACGTTATTTTTACTCCATTTTAGAATTTTTTGTCAGAATTTATTATATAGTTTTATGTCTCTTTGGAGTTGTCTTTCGTAGAAAGCATTAGTTCTAGAAATATACACAATATAGAAGCTACACAATGGGCTATCTACCCGGTTTCTAGCGTTGCAAGTCCGCAGACATACCGCTGTGCCACTGGGGGGCACGTCCAACTTACAGAAGGTGTTAATACCTTTCATAGAGGGTGGTCGTGAACGTTGGGTTTAGGGGAAAGAGAACACTGTGTAAGGGGGTTGTGGAATTACGTAAAATTTAATAATTGTAGTTTCTGGATATAATTTCCTAATATTTTAAATATTGAGGTTATCTTGTATTATACAGTTGTTGTTGTTATGATGCGGGTGATCCAGTGTTTTATGATTCTGGAGTCACTGAGAAAATTTTACATTACGTTTGGAGCAAAACGAGGAAATAGTCAGAGAAATAAATATCTAACAATTTAATCCCAAAACAATTCTCTCAAACTATCACAGTTCGTTTATTATTTTATTTCATCTCTAGGTGAAGGTGAATTTTTTTAATGCACTAGTTGTTTTAATATCCGAGTTTGTTGTAACACAGGTCTTTCGGTTCCAGCCGTTTTTAAAAATTGTCTTAAGTAACCTTATTCGTTTCTATTTAAATCAAATACTTCGGACTTCATATATCAAAATATTTGTGGCTATTAAATAACTCTACAAAATCTCTATAACAAAAATAGTTGTTAGTTTTACACAATTTCCTCGTGCCTCTTACATATGGTCCCAATTATAAGTGTGTTTATATAGTCCAGATTCTAAGTGTGTTTATATGGTTCCAATTCTAAATGTGTTTATATGGTCCCAATTCTAAATGTGTTTATATGGTCCCAATTATAAGTGTGTTTATATGATTCCGATGTTAAGTGTGTTTATATGGTTCCAATTCTAAGTGTGTTTATATGGTTCCAATTCTAAGTGTGTTTATATGGATCCAATTCTAAGTGTGTTTATATGGATCCAATTCTAAGTGTGTTTATATGGTCCCAATTTTAAGTATGTTTATATGGCTCAGGTGCTAAGTAGCTTTATATGGTTCCAATGCTAAGTGGGTTTATATGGATCCAATTCTAAGTGTGTTTATATGGATCCAATTCTAAGTGTGTTTATATGGCTCAGATGCTAAGTGGGTTTATATGATTCCGATGCTAAATGGGTTTATATGGATCCAATTCTAAGTGTGTTTATATGGATCCAATTCTAAGTGTGTTTATATGGCTCAGGTGCTAAGTAGCTTTATATGATTCCGATGCTAAATGGGTTTATATGGATCCAGTTCTAAGTGTGTTTATATGGATCCAGTTCTAAGTTGATCCAATACGTTAAACAATACTTAACACGATCCAATACGTTAAACAATACTTAGCATGATCCAATACGTTAAACAATACTTAACACGATCCAATAAAAGAGTAGCCCAAGAGTTAACTAGCTGCCTTCCCTCTAGTCTTTCACTGCTAAATTAGGGACGACTAGCGCAGATAAAGTTCGTGTAGCTTTGCGCGAAATCCATAACAAACAATTATTATTAGACATAGGTACAGTCAGAATAGCTGAGCATATCGCTTGCTCTGATCAGATGTTAACAATAACAATTATCTTTAATAAATGCAGTTAACTGTTTAAATATATCATACAATAGCCTTAGCAACGAGAGACGACACAAAAATATTAAGTACCCATAGCAACTGCTAGTAGTTGCTATGGGTACTTTAATTAACAATGCATCATATATTGTGGTAACCATTACTAGTTGAAAAATATGGGTTATCATTTAAGAAACCATAGCAACTATAATTCGAATAGAAAACGTCTGTCTGTAAATAAAAATACTCATCAGCATACTAAGAAACCATTGGGGTCTTTATACGTTTTTACTTGGGTCAATTTCCCATTCTTAGAAACAAGTGAAGCGTGATATAATATGTTAATAATTTAAGACGTCCTTGCTATAGTTACCTGACCAGTAACCTTCAAGGAATATCGTTCGCAACACGATTCGGTTCTCAGATACCCTTTTCAAGAAAAATAGATTAACTAGTACAAGGTCTTCTTGCATCAAAAAAACAACAACAACAACAAAAAAAAAAACACAGAACTCGCGATAAGCATTCATAAACTCTTCGTATTAACACACTTAGCATCGGAATCATATAAACCCACTCAGCATCTGAGCCATATAAACCCACTTAGAATTGGATCCATATAAACACTGCTAAGTATTGTTTAACGTATTGGATCATACTAAGTATTGTTCAACGTATTGGATCGTGTTAAGTATTGTTCAACGTATTGGATCGTGTTAAGTATTGTTTAACGTATTGGATCATACTAAGTATTGTTCAACATACTGGATCGTGTTAAGTATTGTTTAACGTATTGGATCATGCTAAGTATTGTTTAACATACTGGATCATGTTAAGTATTGTTTAACGTATTGGATCATACTAAGTATTGTTCAACATACTGGATCATGTTAAGTATTGTTTAACGTATTGGATCATACTAAGTATTGTTCAACATACTGGATCGTGTTAAGTATTGTTTAACGTATTGGATAATACTAAGTATTGTTTAACGTATTGGATCATGCTAAGTATTGTTTAACGTATTGGATCATGCTAAGTATTGTTTAACGTATTGGATCATACTAAGTATTGTTTAACATACTGGATCATGCTAAGTATTGTTTAACGTATTGGATCATGTTAAGTATTGTTCAACATACTGGATCATGTTAAGTATTGTTTAACGTATTGGATCATACTAAGTATTGTTTAACGTATTAGATCATACTAAATACTGTTAAACATGTTGGATCATGCTAAGTATTGTTTAACGTATTAGATCATACTAAATACTGTTAAACATGTTGGATCATGCTAAGTATTGTTCAACATAATTCTGCCTACATCTTGTATAAAAGAATACTCAGTATCATCTTTACCTTTATTTGTTCATCATGAAGATTCTGCCTACATCTTGTATAAAAGAATACTCAGTATTATTCGACACGTTGGATCATGTCTGGTTTTGTTCAACTACCAAATCCTGTCTGATAATAAACAAGATT